GACAGAAGGGGGGGCCAGAGCACGCTCACTGAGTTACTCAATCATCATGAAGTCTGGATACGCCGCTTCTGGTAGCTTCAAACTGCTGCACACAAGGACAGAACCCCACAGCGCCCCCAGCCCCCACCCCCACTGTGGAGCTGCCCCATCCGGCGAGCTCAGCCCCTGAACTTTGATGTACTCCCCTACTTCACTCCAGCTGCCTCCGGTCTCCCACAGTGTCTATCTCCTGTCCTCTTTCCTTTACTACTTCCCAGAGCCTCTGACTGTGCAGCGTCCCTACCACCATCTTTCTCCAGAACTTCCTTTTCACACTTTGGGCTCCCCTCCCAGCCAGGGTCAGTGTTGGGTAAATGGGAAATTCCAGTGGTATGGCAGGAAAACTAGGAAGTGTCTGATTATCCACCGAAGGGTCATGTGCTTACAAGGCATTTAAGAGTATCCATTTAATAAAGCCTGCTTTTGCTCTTTGAGGTGGGGAGGGGTACAATGGAGGGGGGAGAGTGACTAGGACACACAACTTAACTTTAAAACTCATTGGTCTGCTGGTGATTCTCAAACCTGACTGTGCATCGGCATCACCCAAAGAGCTTTTAAAACTACAGAGCTTAAGTCCCAGACCAGACCCACAGAATCAGAATCCCTGGCACTGGACTAGAGGGATCTGAATTACTGCAAAGTTCTAGAGAACTTCTGACATTTGCCGCATAAAATCTGAACTGAAAGGGGAGGATCTATCGAATCTGAGTGAAGGCTACCTCCACCCGAAAGAGCACTTTATAATGCGGCATGCTACAAACAGTGTAAGCAGATCAAGAACATTGACTCAGTTAAATTCCATATGTACTGGGACAAAACCTAACCAAGTGGACACTTTTAAAATATGGGTATTTTATCATATCCCAACCATACCTCAATTAACACTAAATTTTTGAAGTTCCAAATGAAAAAACATAAAATATGTGGCATCTTTGAAACAATTTCTCATGTATTTCTAGGTGCTAGAAGCTGAGCACACAAAGGCAGAAAAACTCTAAGCTTTCACACTATGAGGGACAAGAGGCCCATAAACATACATGTTCTTACATGCACATATTAACGGTCACTGAGTACTCACTATGTGGCCCCCTCTTGTAACTTTTACATACGTCGATTAGTTCAATTCTCATAACCCTATGGGCAGGTACCATTATTATTACCATGTTAAGATACAGAGAGGTTAAGTAACTAGACAAAGTTACAAAACTAATGAAATAAGTGACAGACCAGAATCTAAATCCAAACCCTGTCACTTGATGTATCAAGTCGGCTCAGGCTGCCACAACAAAATACCACAGACGGAGTGGCTTAAACAATAGAAATTAATTTCCTTATAGTGCTAGAGGCTGTCCAAGTCCAAGGTCAAGGTGGCAGCAGGTTTGGCTTCCCGAGACCTATGCCCATGGCTTACAGTGCCTACTTGCCGCATCCAGGCTTCGCCCTTCCGCCTTGCACAGCCCAGGGGTCTCTCTTTCTTCTCATAAGACACCAGTCATATTGAATCAGGGCTCCCCCTACCCCCAATGACCTCAATTTAATTTAATCACCCCTTTAAAGATTTTATCTCCAAATATGGTTACGTTTGGAGCTACCGGAGGCTGGAACTTCAACATGAATTTTGGTGGCATGCCATTCAACCCATAACACTCGATGACTGTGTAATCTCAAGAAGGTTACTGACTACCTGGGCCTCAGTTTCTTCAAATGTAAAATAGTATTACTGAGAATCAAATGAGACAATTCACGTAGAATGTTTAGCAGAGTGCCTGGCAGAGTATCGTCATCTTACAGATGAGAAAAACACAACTCAGAGCGATGGTGACTTGCCCCGTTTTCACCTCTGGAGTGGAGCTCCTACGCTTGCATAACCCCCTTTTCTGTCCGAGCAAATGCGCAGTCCAGGAGAATTTTATATCACTTGTAACTTTTCTACATCTCTTCCTTCCTGCTTTCTTCCGGTATTTTTCTTACTTCCTTCCATAGAACACAAGAAAGGGAAGCTCAAAGTAATAAAAATTTACTTAGGGAAATGCACGACTCTCTTGGGATTGTTTGTGAATTTTATTAATCTTTTCTCCTAATTTGCCAAGACATTTGGCTACAGTCACATGGTGATAATACCTCATAAGATCAGTACCTACTTTTAACTATTAGGGAAGGAAAGCGACTCAGTGTTTCTTTTTAATTGCCCAGCACTCTACACAGGTTACACCCACTCAATCCTCAGCCCAATCACATGCCATTTTAGTCAGCTCTGCAACAATCATGATGAGCAGGTATTATTCCCATTTTATAGCTGAGGAAACAGCTGATCTTTTATTTAGCTCTATAACAATCATGAGAAGATGATATTATTCCCATTTTATAGCTGAGGGAACAGGAGCACAGCAAGGTTAAATAAATATCACGAAGCTGGACAATAACTGCCAGAGCCAGAGCTCTCACTGACACCTTCGAGTGTAAGGCCAAGTTCTCCACGGAGGCCACCACCTCTACCCTGGCAAGTTGCAACCTCCTGGCCTTCTCGATCGGCACGCTTGCCACAAATCCAGCAGGTGTTCAGCACATGAGGCCACGGGGGGGGGTCTTTCCCACCCCTGGTGTAGGCCAGGGTTCCTGACAATGCCGACCACCACCAGCTCCTGGGACTGACAAGTCTTGTAAGGCAACCACCACGGCTCCCTTCCTCCCCAGTGGCTGGCACACTGTGTGCTCATTGGACTTCAACAGATATTTGAGAGAGTGCAAGTAAATATTTGTTGTATAATCAAATCACAGCAAATTCCTCCTTTAGCGATGGCAATGGGTCCTTTTCAGCCGCCACCATGTAAAAACATCCACAAAAGGAAGCATTTATTATAAACCCTCTCATGGCCCACAACAGAGAAGTCTACAAGGGCTTTTGCAAGCCCAGAAGTCTGTGACTTCACGGCACTCTATTCCTGACAGGTGACTCAAATGACCACCTTGAGCACCAGTTACGTGCAGACGCCCCTAGATCCACCAGTTCGGGACCACCACAGTGTCCATCGTCTGCCGTGTGCTTCAGGAACCCGTATGTGACAGGGAAGTCCCGGAGGGAACTGCTGTTTGTCAAGGCCTCTGTCGTAAAACAGAGTTATATTAACAGAAATCATGGTAACTCTTATTTTCTCAAGAATACACTGCTGTTCAGATGTGTTTTTTTAAACTTCGAGTTTGTTTTACCGGAAGCAGCCAGGCAAGTTCTGACCCTGCCGTGGAAACTCTCTGACCACTTCTGGGCTGTTTGTTCACAGGGAAGGGAGAGGGGCAGAGCTGGCCAGAGCCACGTCGGGGCTCCGCTCCCGCTCTCCTGTAACTTCAGGGGCTTGCGGATGGATGTTGGGTTCCTTCATCTGGCTGCTTCTGAGCACCCTGCTGTGAGCGGGCTAGGCTACCTATTTCCCCCAAGCTGTTCTAGCAAATAAGGGAACATTTTGAGCTCCTACAGAAAGCAATCTGTAGGACTGATTACAAATACTCTTTTATGTTGTCTTAATCAAGAGAGAAAAAATTTCAGAAAAAAAAAAGGAAGAGGCATACATGTGGAATATAATTCTAAAAAGAGCTACATCAAAAATTTTAACGTATCCATCACCACCACTATAATAAATATTTATTAAACATATGCAATCTACAAGGTTCTGAGCCAGGTGTTGCAAGGACAGATTTTGTAAGAAATGTCCATACGGCCTGCTTTACTGCCCCTGCACCTTAAAATGAAACTTTTGTTTAGATTTCTTCCCAAATAAACAAAGATTTCAAGTCTCCCTGGGACACGGAAGGGAAGAACCACATTTTTTTGTTATTACTTTGTGGCTTCATAGAAAAACTTGAGAGCGCACTGGGGGAGAAACTGTTTGATCTCTTAGCTACCACCAACACGCAGCAGCTTTCCAGAGAAAGCGACTGCGCTACAGAATGGCTGTAACTGCCACAATGACCTGATTAAATCTGACAGGCACATGACAGGGGGCAGAAAGGAACCCATGTGACCTTCAATTCCAATAAGAAAAGTTGACCCATATTGTCAGAGAAAGCAGGAAGAAGAGGAAGATCATGTGGTTTGGGAAGAAGAGGAAGAACGATGGTACAGAAATATTCCAAATAACAGCAAGTCACTTGGGATCCCTTGAACGCCCCGCCACATCAAATCACGTACAGCTCTTCAGTGAAAGGGAGGTGAAGGCCTATCTCACGCCTCACTTCTGCTACTGGGTGAGCTTGAGAAAGGAAATTAAGACAAGCTTTCCAATCCAACCCAGAAACTGGAGCATGGACATTTAAGTAAACAGGCCCATGAGGAAGGGTAAGAGACTTGTTTAGCAACTAGTCATTGTCCTTACCCAATTAATTTAACACAGAAAACCCCAAATTTCCTTAAAACTTTACTGGTAACAGTTTGCTGGAACTGACTGTTCCAATGTATAAATGCTTCATGTGTGTTTACTTTCCTCCCTGGATTTACGGTTAAACTGTTCTCAAAAATAGAATGAACTTGTTCACATCTGCTTCATTCAATTTTAACAGTGTATTTTCCCAAAGCCACAAAAATGATGTTCTTCAACAAATGAAGTCAAGTGAACACTGAGAATCAGCTCTCGTGTGCGAGGATAGGGAAATAGCAAAGGGTTTACACCGCAAGGCAAACAGGGTGCACTCATGATACGGTCAAGACCACGTGCTGAGGAAACCTACAACGCCCGGCGAAATTTTGTAGTCACAGCTCTGAGCGAGCCGAACCATCTTCTCAGACGGCCAATCACAAACCAGATTGCTGTTTCTGGAGTTCAGACGGCAACAAGAGGCAGCCTCTCGGCAGAAACAGAAAGCGCCACCCAGCCAGCACTGTGTCCCGTGGTGGCGTTGCACCTGCAGCCCACCAACAACTCTTACTTATCCAGGCTCTTTCCTTAAAAATGAAAAGTAGATCAACTTACATGGCTCTCTGGCAATGAACTGAGGTACAGTGTTGGGCAGAGGAGTACTGGGGTTTGGAGTCCCTACTAGTTTGTTCTTGGCCATCTTCGTGTTTGCCTTAGCAAACTCTAGTCGTAGTGTTTGCGGAATTTCAGGATCGAAGCGGATGCCCTTGGGAAATAAAGAACAAATGGGAGATGTTTTCATTTCCTCAGAGTCAAACCGGAACGGTGACAAAACAAACACACCAGTAAAGCCTGGCCTATCCAAAAAAGAAAAAGCCAGCAAGAGCCCTCAGTCTCCCTGGTTGCACAAAATACACGAGAACCCACAACATGACATGTCTCGAAAGCCAGGGAGATTTAGTTTACTTAGTTATTTAGTTCTGTGGGTTTTCAACTTTTCTTCATGATCTTTCTTCTTAGACAAAAAACTTTCATGTTTTAAACTTAGACCAGCAAACTGCAAGCACAGTTCAAAACTTCAGTTACTGGCTACCAATAGCAGTCCATGGATTACTGTGTATAGCTCTGTGCAACATCGGAGAGCATAACACTTACGATCCAAAAAGGCTCAGGCTTGACCAGTGTTCTGACACTGGCTTAAAACAATGCAATTCCTCAACGCCATAGTTTTCATCACCTACAGGGAGGGAAAAACTCCCACCCCCTTCTCCCTGGAGAGCTTTTATGATCATGATAACACGCACTCCGAATTACAAAGAAGACAGAAACTAAACAGTTTTAAGATTTCAACATAATAAGCATCATTCAATTCCAAGTAGCTTATAAATTTATATAAAATCTAAATGTCCTGATGTGGTTAAACTCTGACTTCCATTACAGCTGGCTTGTTAGCTACATAGAGAAGCAACAGGTTAATTAGTCCAGAGAAAGGATAGTCATTTCAGTTACCCTTGACCCTATTACTGCAGTTTACCTAAAACAAAAACATCCAATGAAATAAACCACAAACAGCATAGAATACGAGATTCAAGACAAGAGAAGTAAATCTATTTTGAAACCCACCATTCAAGAACACCCCCCACTGCTGAGAAGGACGAATGGTCTCCTGACATCTACTTTCCATCACCATGGATTCAGAACCCAAACCACAGCCCCAACAGACATCCCAGTAGGGGGCGCAAGTGTGCACTCGAATCGGCTTTAGTTCCCATCTTTGTGAATGTTCCAGAAAAGAAGTTGTGAAAATGACTATCCTAAAGCACACAGGTAGGCCTGTGAGCGCCAAACCCCCTTTCGTCCTCTCCTTGATTCGCTTAAAGAAAAACAAGAGCAATTTCCAGAAGAAACTGGTTAGAACCTGTGACTGCAGATCAGGATGAACAACTGAACCTCCCAGGCTTGGCTCCAGGGCCGGGAGGAAGAGCCTGTGGCCGGGTGGTAACAGCAGTGAGAGAAGTAAGGCCGGAGGAGCGGGGCAGGGAGGTGTCACGGAAGCCACAGAGCCCGGACCACACTCGGACCTGCACACGTCCCAGAGGGCATGGAAGTGCTCAGGAGACAGTGGCCGACAGGCAAGGGTGGGCAGGAAGAAAAGGACTCTGCTTGTGCAGCCTAACCAACAACAAAGTGAAAACGGGGTTCCTGGTCTACGAAGCACAACAGAAGGCAACGCTGTCGTCCTCACTGGCAGGTCGGTGCAGTCCCCATCTGTGATTTAAAGGTATGTTGGGGGGGAGGGGGCTGCGAATTCACGCGACACACCCTCAGCCACACACAGTAACAACCTGCCATCAGTTACACGGTGTCACCACTGGCTCGTGGCCCGGGCCACCAGCCTTTTTGTGAAGAAGCAATTTTTCTAAACCTGAGTCCGTATCAACCCAAGCCCAGGCCATGGAGGCAGGGGAAGCACACCCTGGGACCTGTCAGTAGTCCCCTGGGGCTTCCAGCCTCACAAGACGGGGCTGCACAGCTGGATCCATGCCTGGCTTTTGCACTGGTGTCCGAGCACACGCGCCTCTTACAAAACCTGGGCTGGTGGCCCGGGTCCTAAAACATGCTGGAGGGAGTCTCCCCCACCCCTCCCCCACCTCTCTATAACCACTGCCGCCCCCCAACATTTGTGCTAAAATAACACCACCATCATGTTCCAAATCAAAGTTCCAGCTCCTTGTTAAAAAAAAAACCCTAAGTTCAAATGACCTAATTTGTTTGGCAGCTTATTCAGAGGCTAGAGGCTTAGAATACAAGCCACATTCCTCTAACATCTTTAGCAGCAATACCATATTTGGTAATCAATATCCTGCTAGCTCAGTTTCTGCCCTCAGGGATTCGCCAAACCCAAAACATTTCAAATGCTAAAGGGAGATGAAGAGGAGGGAGGTAGCGCGGGGTGGGTGGGGAGACTGTGGACGTGAGGAGGAAGGAGAGAGAGAGAGGAGAAAGAGGGGGACTTATAGAGAAGGAGGAGACAGGAAAAAAGTACCTTGTGCTTTCAATTAAAGCCGAATAAGATTATTTTCTGGCCAGTGACTTCACATTAACTGCTGTCAGAATAAGATTACTGCCGAGTCAAAGGGGAAATCTGTGCCTTTCAAAAGCAACTTCTTACTCTCTTGCCTATAATTCCTCAAAAATCCTTCTTCCAGGGAACTGAGTGAGACTTTTCCATTTTTATATGTTGTCTTTTTTACATGCTGACTAGAAATGACAGTTTCTGGATATCGATATGATATCAATCCAAGAATAAACGTTACTTAGGAAAAAGTCCAACCTGCCTGGCTGCAGGGACAGCCAACAGTGTCTTCAAGATGTGACCAAAGCAACACAGGGTCACCATGACCTACAAAGGCTGCACTACCTCCCCAGGGCCAACTCTGGAGGTATAGGGACACTTCTGACAAATAAAGTATACAAGGGCAGTTTCAAAGCCATGTGCGTACATAGTAGGGACTGAACGTCATGTCTTCCCCAAACTCCTGTGTTGACCACTAACGTGATGGTATTTGAAGCTGGGGCCCTTGCAAGGTAATTAGGTGCAGACGAGGTCACGGGGGTGGCGCTCCTGTGATGGGATTAGCACCCTTGGAAGAAAAACACACCAGGAATCTTTTACCAAGAACACACACCAAGGAAAGACCAAGTGAACACACAGCAAGAAGGTGGCTGTCTACAGGCCAGGAAGAGGCCCTTTCCAGATACTGAATCTGCTGGCAACTTGATCTTGGACCTTCTACCCTCCAAAACTAAGAATATTAAAAGTCTGTTGTTTAAGCCATCCAGTGTACAGTCTTTTGTTATGGCAGCCTGAACTAAGACATGTTAACAGAGTTTCTCCTTCCTCGGGCCACAGTTCCTAAACACCGACAGTATTCTCCCCGAGCTTCCCCCCGTGGTTCCACGTAGGGACATCTCTCCTCCACCAAACCCATCCCCAACCCCACCTTTCACCCTACTGCAGGTGACACAACCAACGGGAGCTATCTTTAACCACCTGCAACGAACGCCTGGCACGTGTGATCACTAGAAGGCCTAATAATTCAACCCCAAAGCTGCAGAGGACAATCAGAGGCGCTGAGAGAAAACGGACACTGCATTACACACTGCGATCCTCGACGCTCAGAGAAGTCAGTTCTTGCATTTGGGGCTGTTGAGGGAATGTTTAAAAATCATGTTTTTATTACTCACATGTCACAAAGCTCGAGAACTACTGGTGAATAGAAAGGTTCAGGAGAGTTTTCTGGATTTGTGGAGTGACCGGAACAGACCAGACACGAAGTTGCCAGGGCCTGGGCAGCTGCTGGGACAGTCCCCCTTCTGTGCCAAGGGCACTCAGAGGCCAACGTCTGGGTCCTGTGCCCTCGCTTCTCTGACAATAGCTGAGTAGTTAAGGAACAGCTGCTGCCCAAAGTGACCAAACATGTTTTTTATCTTCAGAAGGCTTCAGCTCTGAGTACCGAGATACAGAAAATGGAGGTGGCTGGAGCTGAGCCGCCTTAAGTCCTCCACCAGAGAAAACACCTGCACACCCCGGCCACAGGCCTTCGGCGCGGAGGGAGTCGCGCTGGTCTGGTGCATACTCCAGTTCTGTTTGCTGCCGGTACCCCGGGGCCCGCAACCATGGCTCTACCATTCAAGTCCATGGTTGTATCCATCCTGGATAATGAGTTTGGGGATCATGGACACATTCGGCAGAGAGAGAAAACACAGTCAAGAATGAAACAAGGCTACATGTATTCACTAAATAAATATGCCCATGACAATATTATGTTAAAAAAAATACTCAACAACGTTCAGTAGTCTTGGGGCGGTGGGGAGACTGTGTGTGTGAACACACTGGTCTGTGTGTGGAAGCCCAGGAACGTTTATAACGAGACAACCAACCTACCAGCCGTAGAAACAGTGGTGGTGTGTTTGGGTGGGCAGAGAGCGCCGCACCACGACTCCTGTCCTGTTTAATTCCGTACTGTTTGCCCTTCCTGCACGTGTGTATAATCTACACATGTATGACTTGTAGACTCTGATACGGGCTTTTTAAAGAGTGGGACAGAGCCAGACGGCGGGATTTCCCACGGAGTGCGGGCAGAGCCAGAGCAGCACTGAGAGGAGCAGGCAGGAGGCACCCGGCACGGCGTGTTCAACCAGCCCGGCTGCGGCTGTCCTGTTAGGTTTCTAAAAAATACTGTATTTTGAGATAATTCCAGACTTAGAGAAAAGTCACAGACATAGTACAGGAAATTCCTGTGCACCCTTTGCCCAGATTTCCCACACAAACTTTTATTTTCCCCTCCCTGAATGGTTTTAAAGTTGAAAGTATAATGCCCCTTTACCCTTTACGGTTTGATTTTCGGGGCGGGGGGAAACAAACAAACAAAAAACCAATGACATCTCTTCATTTTCCTGAGCCAGAATCTAATCCAGACTCACACAAAGCATACAATAATCTTTTTAGGGTCTGAAACATTTTCCCCAGTCCTCTTTTATGACCTTGACATTTTTCAGGAGTATGGTAGGCTGTTTGTTTTCTCGAATAACCCTCAATTTGGGTGTATCTGACTTTTTGATTAGATTCAGGTTATGCATTTTTGGCAGGAATAAGAGATTTGTGTCATTCTTGGTGCACAGCATGGTATCATTTTTGTCCCATTCGTAGTGGTAACAACCTTGATCGCTTGCCAAGTTTTTCGCTGTAAGGTTACTATTTCC